AAAAATGAAGAATGCATGTTAACTTTAATTGAAAACCTTTTCAACATCTACAGAGATAATACAATTTTTCTCCTTAAATCTTTTAATACTATATTTTATAATAAACTATCCTTAATTCCTGAAATTAACTCCCCTTGATCATGAAGTATTATTTGCTAAATTGTGTATCGTATCTTATTTAGGATATTCGCATCCTTATCTGTTCTCGTTTGTGATCTCCGAGGAGCTTTGTTACCAATTTTATTTTATGTCCTAAAAAGAGTTTGGAAAGTTCTTTTTTTTCCTGTGCTCTGGAACAGTTTAAGCGGTACTTTAATCGTTTCAGTGAAATTGGCTTGGTGGATGGTTGGGAAGATCTTGGACAAACTTTTAGCACTTTCTATGTTAATTGGTACAGGTAGGTTTTCTCTCACAAATGGCCTTCCCCTAGTTTTCAAATTTATCTGCCCACAGTGGATCAGATTCTCTCTCCCTCCCTTAGTATTCCTTGCTTGTGTGTCAGACTTACTTCTTTATACAAGAGCTAATAGTCCACCTGGTATTTAAAGAGCTTTTAGCTGTTTCCCCCTGAAGTGTTTTGCCTTGACTGCCTCTATCACTTGTTTTCTGATTATTTCCACCTTAATAAACGTTCTCCTTTTTTGCTTTCCTTAAGTGTACTTTGTCATTCTTTCTCTCACTTAAGTTCGGCATTTTATTTCATTTGTTTATTTCTTTCGGCCACTGATGTGAGGTTCAATGCGTCGGAATTTTCAAGCACGACTGAAATGCAACCCCCCAGATGCACTGGTGATGTCATCGCAGTTCCTTCTGATTTCCTCTGCAACGACGACGTAAACCCCAACTGCTGTGGGGTCAAGTCCAACTCAGTCACTGGTCTCTTGACCTAATTACATATCAAAGTGTTAGGTTTGGGGCTTTTATTTTCCATCTCAATAGGCTGTCTTATGTGGATGGTAGTTCTGTTTTCTGAGTCTTACTAATTTCCATTCTTTTGACATCAAAATGTCAGAATGATGTCTATATTACATCTGGTTTGAGCATCGTTTTCTTTTCATGCTCTTCAACGTACCAGCATTTTTTAAGGGCGTGTTTTTAGGAAGCAGATTTTAATCATCCTGAGGTTTATGTGACTGACCTTTTGTACAGCACTTTGTCAGTGCTCCAGTGTTCGTACAGAAGAAAACAAA